GTAACCGATCTTAAAACTCCGATTTTAAATCCAATTTTTTGCACTAGTGCTGCTACCTGTTCTTTCTTCCAAATCTTTGTAGGCATTATTTCTCTTGATTGAACTCGTTCTCGAACAAAATAAGAGTCCATTTCTACATGCTTTGTCATTTCATGAAAAATGAGATTCATAACAATATGTAATGTTGCTTGATTATGACAAAACATGGTAGTAGCTTCCTGTTGTGATGCCCTTAACTCTATCAACAACCATCTTAACCATATTATCCACTGACTATTGCTACCATGAACATGTACTCTACTTCTGCTGATGATCACTTCACTACCACTGCCTGCCTCTTTGATCTCCATGAAATAGGTGACCCTCCTAACATAATCAGATACCCTATATAGGATCTTCTGGTTAAGGTACATCCACCTCAATCTGCATCATAATATGCCTCCAGCCTCAATGCAACACCACTTTTAAGCAATATTCCTTGCCATGGGGTTGACTTTAAGTAGCATAGTACCCTTTCTACAGCATCCATGTGTCTTTGTTTTGGTGTTGTCACAAACTGGCACAATGTATTGATTGCATATGTGACATCCAGTCTTGTTACTGTTAGATAGAGTAGATGCCCCACCAACCTTCTGTATCTTGTGACATCAGTATCTTGTTCATCATTACTTTCTTGTAATTTGTAGTTTTGTTCCATTGGAAACTTGCTTGGCCTGCATCTCTGCATCCCCGTCTCTTTTAATATGTTCAAGACATATTTTCTTTGGCTAAGAAATATGTCATGAGATGACCTGGCTACCTCAACGCCAAGAAAATACTTCAGTGTCCCTAAGTTTATGATGCTAAACTCTATCTAAATAATTCTTCATCTGTTGCATGGTTTCTTGATCGTTCCTGGCCAATATAACATCATCTACATATATTAGTGCAACTAGAAAATCTCTCTCCCTTTTGTAAATGAATAAGGAATGGTCTACCCTAGATTGCCTGAAACCAACCTTATTTAATGCACTAGTAAATTTTTGATACCAATTTCTTGATGCTTAGCATAGCTTGTAAAGGGACTTTCTTAGTTTGCAAACTCTAGTTTCCCCTTCCTTTGCGAAGCCTTAGGGTATACACATGTACACTTCTTCTAATTCTCCGTGCAAAAATGCGTTGTTCCCGTCAAGTTGGTGAACTTCTCACCTATTTGTTGTTGCTACACTTAATAGACATCGCACTGTTATTAACTTTGCTACTAGTGCAAATGTTTCATGAAAGTTTACTCCTTCAACTTGAGTAAAACCTTTTTCCACGAGCCTTGATTTTTGGCATTCTATCTCACCATTTGGCTTGTATTTTATTTTAAATACCCATTTTGAATCGACAACATTCTTTCCTAGTGGAAGTGCCTCCAACGTCTATGTTTCATTTTTCTCCAACGCCTCTATTTCTTTCTTCATTGCCTCCCTCCAGCATTCATTCTTTACTGCTTGTGAGAAATTTTTTGGCTCATCATGAAAGGAGATGGCCACTAAGAGAGCTTTATCTGAATGTGAAAACTTATCATAGGATAAATAACTTGATAAAGGATGCACTACTGAGTTACATAGGGTCATATAGAAATCGTGTAATGAAGGGTGGTAGGTTAACTTCATACTCTTCTAAGTGTCTTAGTGGATGTATCATTCTTCTACTGCGTCTTTCTTCATTGTGTTCATTTGTAACACCCCCACTTCCTGTGTCCCTTTCATGCGATGATTCAACATCATGATTTTCCTCATGACCACTTTTTCCCTTATTTCTTCTACATCTTGTTCTACCAAGCACCTCACCTCTCTTGTTATTATGTCTTCAGTTTCTTCGAACACAGGTAGAGTCACTTGTCTGGGCATGATTGTCTTTTCAGCCTTGAATGAAAATTCATGTTCGCAAAATATCACATCCCTTGAGACTTGTATTTCCTTCTTTTCAATATCATAAACTTTGTATCCTTTTTGTCCACTTGGGTATCTAATGAGTACACATGCTCTCCCCCTTTCGTCAAACTTCCCTTCCTTGTTCTTCAAGGCATATACCAAACAACCAAACACTCTCAAGTGCTCATAGTTCGACTTCTTCCCTATTCAAATTTTTATAAAATAATTTAAAATTAATTAATATATTAATCATTAATTTTTAATCAATAATTATTATTATATTTTATTTTTAAAAGTGTAATTTTCTCGCGTTAAATCCTTTTTTCAACTTAAAATACTATTTTATTTGTATATAATTTTGAAATAATTATTAACTTTTGGTTGAAATTCAAAACCAAATTTTTTTTATTGAAATTCAGACAGTTATTTTGACAAGCAACAAAACCCCATATTTTTGATGGTTGAAATTCTACGGAACAGTCCTTTTGACCAGCAGTAAAACAAATTTTTATTTTGGAGTTGAAATTTGAAATTATATATTTTTAATTTTTTTTAATCCTGCAGTTGTTTGGTCAACTTCTAATTTTAATCTCCAAATAATTTTTTGTTTTCCTCCATGAACAAAAAAATGGGCACCTCAGACCATAAAGGCCAATGAATTTCTTTTAAGGATTAAAAGTCAACATTGGTCAAAGTTTAAGAACACTAAAATATATATATATATATATATATATATATATATAATATTTCAACCCTCAATTTTTTTTCAACAGGACTCCAACTTCGTTTTCAGGCCACCCATTTCTTTCTTTCTTCTCCCTCTTTGTCAAACGTTCGATTATCCCGTAGCCTGTTCCTGCTTCTCATCCATCAACACTCTACGGGAAGATTGATGTTTATCTCTAGCGTATTCATCATCTTTGAGATTATCTTATTTAAATAAAATATGTTTTTATCCAACATATATTTTTTGAATTCTTAGTTTTGTTGGAATTTAAGTGTGAATGAGAGAATCCACATCCAATGATTTTCCGTGTTTAATGATTTCTCCACAAGTTATATTTCCTATAAAAATTTAATCTACTTTTAGTAATATTTTTAAAATTAGACTGATTATTGAATCTGTCAAGGTATTGATTTAAGGATTAATTGTTTAATTGTGATTAAATTATGACTGAATTGATATTAATAAAATAATAATAATAATAATAATATTTAAATAATACATAAAATTATTACATAAACATAATATCATAATTTTTATAAAATTAAGATTAAAAAAATTATTTTATACATTTTTATATTTTAAAGTTTATGTAAAAATCTAAATATAATAATTTATATTTAGAGTAGAAAAAATTTAAATTAATATAATATAAAATATTATGATATAAAAATTATAAATTAATATAAATGACTAAATTTCATCTTAATAAGAAAATTATTAAAAGTAATAATTAAGATAATTTATAATTTTATTAAATATATTTATTTATTTATGATAAGAATATTTAAAAAATTAGAAAAAAAAACTAAAAAGACCAATTCAATCCGATTTTCTACACTATTACTTGATTGGTTTTTAACAGATTTAAACTAGTTTATCCAATTTTTGATCAATTTTTTTACACACCAAAAATTTCATAGTTCTTTTGGATCGATAAACTAATTGATTTTATTATAGGTTATTTTGCAACATTTTTTTTTAAAAAAATGTTACTATAATTGTTTTTAAAATCAAAGTCTTACATCTAGTAAAAAAAGTATATTTTTCTCATATCTAATTGTTACCCGTAATTAAAGTCACACATCAAATAGATGAATGACTTATAAAGAGTATATATAATAAAATAGTTATACTTAAGATAAATGAACTTTGATGTTTTATATATAATTAGTTCCCTAAAAAAATTAAGAATGTCTTTAATCTTCTCTTAAAGAATCCCTAGGAGTTTAGGAGACATAAAAATATAATAATTGATAGTAATATCTAAATTAAAATTAATTATCATTTTATAAAGTTAACAAAATCTTAGCAACATCATTAAAATGTTATAAAAAAAACATTAAAATGTTACAAAAATACTACTTTGATAACATTTGAAAACTATTGCCTAATTATGGAAAAATGTTATTAAAATTTTTTAGCAACATGAACTATATACAACATTTGATAATATGTTACTAAAGAAAAATAGTAACATTTATAAGTAACATTTTCAAATGTTGCTAAAAACTATTTGTGCTGTATTGACCACTGTCGTTATCATCGCTACTACTACTGTTGTCATCACTGTCAATGATGATGGTGGTAAGGGTGGTAATGGTAGGAATGACGGTAATCACAACAACAGTGGTAGTGGTGGTAGTACCTATGGTTGTGGTGGTGGTGGTGATGTGGCAAAGTTGTGATGGAGGTGAAGGTAATAAAGTTAACAACAATAATAAATATAGAAAAAAAATTACAATAGTAGTGATAGATGATGATTCTAGATATAATATTTTAGTCTAAATTATTTATTTTAATATAAGGTTGTTATTAGTTGATCTCATGTTTTCGTATTAATAAGTGCTCTCACTTGAGTAATTTCCTTATATATATATATATATATTACATTTGAGGAGGGATTCGTTTACTTTAGGAGTAAGTTTACCTAGACTTATTTCATTCAATAACTTATAGTCTACATTAAATTTTAACAATCTAATTGTTGAATTTAAAGTTCTTAATGTATAGATCAAATATGCAAAATTTTAAAATAAATGAAAATTATTTGATATTTTGTTTCATTAATTCAAATCAACGTATGAAATGATTTTATAATTACTCATCAATTTGAATTAATGAAACAAAATATCAAATGATTTTTAAAATTTTTAAAAATTTACAAATTTGATCTATACATTAAGAACTTTAAATTCAATTATTAAATCGTTGAAATTTAATATAAAATATAAAATATTAAATATAGTAAGTCTAATTAGACTTACTTTATGAAATAAATGAATCACTTCTCATTACATATAAAACATAAAATAATTAAAAAAAAATGAGACACAAATATTCTGAGTTTTGTAATGGGTGTTATTTTATTTTAGGCCTAATTTTAAGGATGCTATAATTGATGCCGCCGCTGATGACCTATTCAATAAAGTTCATGGAATGTCAACATTCCAATACGCTGATAAATATCCAGCACAGAACCACATTTTCAACAAGGCAGTGAACGGTATAAGCACCATGGACATGAAAGCCATTTTACAAGAGTATACAGGATTTGAAGGAATATCAACACTGGTTAATGTAGGTGGAGGAATCGGAGAAATGCTACATATGATAATCTCTAAGTACCCTTCAATAAAGGGCATTAATTTTGATTTGCCCCACGTTGTTGAAAAGGCACCAACATATCCAGGTACTACTAATTAATCTTGTATTGAATTAAAGATGCAATTCATTGCCCTATTTGTACTTTACAAATAAATAGGAATTTTCTAATCAGTATCGTTAGAGTACCGGTTATATGAATTAATATATAAAAAGTTAGTACACTATAGTTACGTTTTTCAATAGAAATTGTCTTTAAACCAGTATCCAAAAGATAATGGTCCACATTTTCCATATAAATATTGATTGACAAACTGTGCTAATTTGCATGAAGGCATAGAACATGTTGGAGGAGACATGTACGTAAGTGTACCCCAGGGTGATGCCATAATTCTAAAGGTTAGAAAGCACTTTATGACCCTTAAAATTTCTAGAACTATATATTGATCGAAAAGTGACCCCTAATTCATGCTATATATTCATCTTTGGCTAAATTATGTAGGCTGTGCTGCACAATTGGTCGGATGAAGACTGCTTAAGGCTCTTGAGAAATTGTCACAAGGCACTGCCACAAAATGGAAAGGTGATTGTTGTGGACCTAATAGTGCCAGAAGCATCAGATTCTGATGAATCAAAGATTGTTTCTATCATCGACAATCTCATGTTTGTCATTGGTGGTAAGGAGAGAACAACTAATGAATTTGAGGCTTTATCCAAGCTTTCGGGATTTCCAGGATTTGAAGTTGTTTCTAGAGCATTTGGTGCCTTGGGAGTCATGGAATTTCACAAATAAGGGCAATTTAAAATTATCTTTTATTTCGTATCACTTAAATTCAAACAAAACATAGGTCCTTTAGAAGAAGTATGTTCCACTCTTAGCAATGTTTGGTTGTACAATGCTAATGCCTAGGATATATATGGGCATAAATAACTAGGCTTCAAGTATGAGCCGAATTTTAATTATTTTTCTTCTTGATATGTAGGTCGAAAGATATTACTACATCCCTCTATAGCTATTATCGTCCAATGTAATGATGGTTAAAATTAAATAAAAGTTGCTTATTTATGAAATTCCTTTGCTCTACTTTTGCTGCATTTTTTTATGGTGGCTGACACAACTTCATTTGCCATCGAGAAAAGGAGTGAAGGGATTAGCTTTGGAAGAACGTGATATAGTATACTATTTAGGTTGAAGAGTGTGATGATGATGATGCATGCCTAGCAAGGACAAAAGGAGGTAAAAACGTGGTTGCAGTAATGTCTAATTGCATTACGATTAGGATGTATGTCATGTTGGAAAAAATTGTGTATGTCGAAGATTCAATTATATGCAATCAATTCTGATACCGATAATAAAGTATTATGTTAATTATTTTATCATATTTTATTAAATTATATAATTTTTTTAACACTACAATAAAATGAACTTTTAGTGGCATTTAATATGACTTTTAGTGGTGTTAGTACCAGAAAATGAATTCGGAGACACTCGAAACACAAGGGTGCTCAAAAATCCTAGAAGATCGAGAAATGGCGGAGAAGTTTCTAAAGAAGGCATACGAAGCTTGAAGAGAGTCAAGAGATACGCGAAGACATTTTTTGTGAAACTCTCGAAATCCTTGAGTCAGGAAGGATGCTGCCCAGGAAAAGGGGCTCACGGCCTCACAACCTCTCAAAGTACAAGCAGAATCAGGAAACATTCAAGTATATTTTTCGTTGGTTACTCGAAATCCCAAGAATCCGGACATATACGAATACACTTCATAGCCTCTCAGAATGGAGAACTTAAAGGAGACACGATTTAGGAGCGGTTGAAGTAACATGGGATAAGTGTCAAAGGCTGTAGAACGGTTTGGGGAAGTTAACAAGCAGTTCCAAGAATTATCCAGAGACGGGCCCGAGAGTAAGCCACTATGTAGAAGTTTAGAATAGTTATGCACTTCCGGGGTGCGTCAGAAACAATTATTTTTCCCAAATCTGTCTATAAATTAAACGAGCCAGGCGCGTAGCAAAGGGTCAGAAATCTAATTCCCACAACACCTCACACGCACTCCGCAGCTTGCACATAAGGTATACTGTGCATACGAGACAGCTTTGGGTACGATTTCTCGACCACTTTTCTTTTCCTTTTTAGGAGTAGTGTAGCATAGCGTAATCTAGCCTATGGTAGTGTAGTCATTCTGAACATGTTTCGTTATCCTTACGAATTGTAATTTTGTTACCATTTAATGAAGGATATGATTTCTACAGTCAACATACATGTCATCTGTTCGATTCACGTAAATTATTACATGCATGAATTTGATTGTACAATTAGCATAGATCTTCTGATGTGCTGAAACAAGCATAGATCTTCTGACGTGCTAAAAAATAGCATAGATCTTCTGACGTGCTCGAAACATGAGCATAAATCTTCTGATGTGTTAAAACCAGCATAGATCTTCTGAAGTGCTCGAAATAACGAGCATAGATCTTCTGACGTGCTGAGACAACACCCTAATTTAACTCTATTTGTTGCTTGTACGAATTTATTCTTTCACCGAAAGTCTTCGATTCTGTCATGTCACGAACACGCATAAATTGGAACGTGAACTCGTGCTAGTTCGAACAAAAAGAACCTACGAACGAAATTCTCCACAAACAAATTGGCACGCCTGGTGGGACTCGTTTGGTGAGCTTAATCGAACTAATTGAACTAGTTTTGTGTGTGTTTAATTTTTATGAGACTTATAAGTGGGAGAACTATGTCTACATCCAGCTGAAGAGATGCGCTTAATGAAGAACAGGGTAATGGAGAAAATCGGAATATAAATCAAGAGAATGTGCCAAATGAGACCAGGGGGAAATGTCTCCACCTCCTGTAAATATTCCGAACTCCGCGGGATTTCTGAATGCGTCACAAGAAATGGTGAACGCTACCCGCGAATACCCATGGGGGATGCCTCCGAATTGGAGAAGTACCCAGCCCATGAGCGTAGAAATGCCAATACCATATTCTGGGCACAATCCTCAAATGCAAATATCATCATATGGGTATAATGCAGCCCCAAATGGGATGGGCTTTATCATGCACGATCCTCACCAGCATGTTGGCACAAGCCAAGAAGGGTCGTTGGTTCGACAAAGTAACTATATATCCACGGGTATAAGCAATGAAGCCATGATAGCCCTTCGGCAACAAATGGATCATAGTAACCACGATATGGTAAATTTGTTGTCTACACAAATGCACAACATACTCACACCCCTATACGAGCTGATGGGAAAAATAGGAGATAAAATTAATGATAATCGACTCTCGAGAGATACGAGTGTAAATCTGAACGGCCTCGAAAATCCAACCGTCAATGAGACGAATATTTGAGAGATTAGAAATCGTATCAATCTCAATCAAGGGGGACCGCTGAGAAATGTCGAGGAAAATTTGGATCATATAGTCGAGAGGGTACTGAATAGGCACGAATTTGAAACGGGGAGAAATGAGCACTGATGGCAACCCTCCTTGCATGGATTGAGTTAAGAGCGTGAAAGAGGGATAAAGGAGACACGATTTGGGAGCGGTTGAAGTAACATGGGATAAGTGTCAAAGGCTGCAGAACGGTTTGGGGAAGTTAACAAGCAGTTCCAAGAATTATCCAGAGACGGGCCTGGGAGTAAGCCACTATGTAGAAGTTTAGAACGGTTATGCATTTCCGGGGTGTGTCAGAAACAATTATTTTTCCCAAATCTTTGTCTATAAATTAAACGAGCCAGGCTCATAGCAAAGGGTCATAAATCTAATTCCCACAATACCTCACACGCACTCCACAGCCTGCGCATAAGGCATATTGTGCATACGAGACAGCTTTGGGTACGATTTCTCGACCACTTTTCTTTTCCTTTTTAGGAGTAGCGTAGCATAGCGTAATCTAGCCTATTGTAGTGTAGTCATTCTGAACATGTTTCGTTATCCTTACGAATTGTAATTCTGTTACCATTTAATGAAGGATATGATTTCTGCAGTCAATATACATGTCATCTGTTCGATTCATATAAATTATTACATGCATGAATTTGATTGTACAATTAGCATAGATCTTCTTATGTGCTAAAACAAGCATAGATCTTCTGACGTGCTAAAAAATAGCATAGATCTTATGACATGCTCGAAACATGAGCATAGATCTTCTGATGTGCTAAAACCAGCATAGATCTTCTGAAGTGCTCGAAATAACAAGCATAGATCTTCTGACGTGCTGAGACAACACCCTAATTTAACTCTATTTGTTTCTTGTATGAATTTATTCTTTCACCGAAAGTCTTCGATTCTGTCATGTCACGAACACGCATAAATTGAAACGTGAACTCGTGCTAGTTCGAACAAAAAGAACCTACGAACGAAATCCTCCACAAACAAGTGGCAATAAAAATCGCTACAAAATATTTTACCTGCATTTCACACATTAATCATTGTATGTAGTGTCGTTAAAACATTTACCGACAATTATTCTATATACTGGTGTTGGGGTTACTCGAAAGCCATATCACTTGAAAGTTACACTTTGAATCTACTCGAAAGAAAGACAAATAAATAGGTACCTACCAAAAGAAAGGATTACAAGCCCTAAACGTACAAACTCGAGAATGGATCGAAAAATGAAAGAAGCGGAAAATCCTCTACAGTTAAGCAGTTACACTAAGGTAGTTACCTAGACTTGGTCGAAGAAACAAGGAACGTGGAGGAGACAGTTATGAGAAGTTACCTTGATTCCACGAAATTAGTGTAGTGGTCAGCGGTTACACACCCACGACATCAATACGTGATTAATCGCTCTCAAGTAAAATCTATAAATATGAGAATCATACCCCTCAGAAAAGGTCGAAAATTTCATACTTGCACTCTTGAAAAGCACTCTCTGCCTGCGCATATGGCTTCCGTGCATGCAATTGCTGGGTATTGATTTGTTGACCAAATTACTTTTTTCCTCATTCTAGGATTAGTGTAGTTTTTCTTTAATTCTGTAGTTCCTTTAGTTCTGTAGTTCGTAAGTTGTTTAATTCTAATATTATAATATGCAAACTCAACAATGATTTGTATTGCCAATGTATTTGTTGTCCATTCTGTTCAATTAAGTATCTATGTGCATGCAAATTATTACTTGATTATTATTCATGAAAATGTGGAAACAAACGACCCCAAAATACAAGGGTAAAATTGGAAATACAAGTAAAATAAATTCTATGACTAAAATACCCCAAAGTACAAGGGTAAATTTGGAATCAAAGATAAGGGCAAAAATAGGAATAAAATAAATGCTATGCTAATAAGAACTTAGGAGCTAAGGTCCAAAAGTGGCCTCACTAACCCATTCCTCTTGCCTCCTTTAATATATCACCTCTTAGTCTTCTTGGCCTTAGTGTTATTCCATCAATCTTCTTCCGGATTTAGCTTGTTCAAGCTTAGGTCTCATTGGTTCTTCTTGGAGCATCCGTCCTTGACATTCTTCCAAGGATCCAAGAAGAATTTGAAGGTGTTCATGAGGATTCACTAAGTGGAACCTCATCAAGAATGAAGGAAGATAAAAGAGATATCATGTATGGATCCATCTCCTAGACCCAATTTGAGTATGGCTCCCATCGAAAAGATGGAGATGTACAACTCCTCCCAAGTTGGTAATACATACATGCCAAATGCGCATGTGCCCATTGGGAAATGGACTTCTCCACAAAGGCCCAATGTTGGAATGGGTCGAGGAAAGCAAATTGTGAACTACTCGAAAAACCTATTTTCTGGAGGACCCAGATTTGTGTCAAACATGCAAGGGGGGTTCTAGAAGAGGAATTAAATATCCTTTTAATGGCCTCACCAAGACTCAGTGGAGAAGGCAACAGAGAATGAGAAAGGCAACTTTCGAGGGACGCAAAGGTAATCAATTTTCGATTCCCGTACCTTACGAAAGTGAGGCATCTAAGAAATTTGCAAAGGATGAGGAAGATTTGATTACGGATTGTTTTGAAAGTGGTTTCGAGGATTCCCTCGAAGATATTTGTGGAGTGGTATCAATCCTACCTTCTGAATACGTT